TAACTTAACGTGTTGTCACGTTGGAAATAAAAAGTCGATGTTTTTAACAAATGAAAAGCGAGTTTTGTGCGTATTTCGATGGAAAAATTGTTAATTGCAAATCGAAATTAAATCTTATCCGAGTGAGAGAGGGAATAAAATTGGCAGATTACTTTTTCTATTAATTTCACATTTGTTGAGCAGTATTGCAAGCAGAGAAATTCTCAGTTTTGCCATTATTGCTAAGAAATGTTTGCAAGTTACACAAGCTCCCTTTCGTTCCTAAATTTAGCTGATATTTTGTGTCGCAGAGTATAACAGTAAACGCAATTTATATCGACGTTTCTTTTGTCGAGCATTAAAACGGCGAAGAATTCCACGAGATGAAATAACTACAATAAATCGTTATTTTTACGATGAATATGATCGTGACTCGCGCGCAGGAGATCAGGTTTTCGGGCTCCCCTCCGGACACATGTTCGTTTTGCATCGTCGCATTTGAAGCGCGTGCGAGCTCGGCAGTCGGTCCCCGAGCATTTGCGCCAATACTTATTTGCGGCTTATGAAAATTTTAAGCCCCATAAATCACGTGTTATGGAACAGATGTAAATTACGATTATTACTGGTTTTACTGCGCGTGCGAGAGCGCGTCTCACGGTAATCCGGCGCTGTTGCGTCGTAAAAGCGAAAGTAGGAAATTACAGTAAGCAGAAGTTTTACAGTTGGTCGATTTGTGGTGACTTTGAATTTTGTGCGTAGGACCCAAAGACACCTTGGGGCGGCAAAGACGATCCCGCAGATGCATTCGCAGAGGACGACCCGTTGCGCCGACTGCGATAAAAAGGTAAGTTTCATCGAATTATTTTATTGACAGTACGTCAAACGTGAATGAGCACCCATAAATATTGGTGTGCTGTTCTTATTATCAATTACACGGCCCACGACTCACCTGTCACGGCATAAATAAGGACTTTATCGCCTTAATAATTAATAGTAATTTATAATCGATAAAAGCGCTCCGGTTGGAACTGAAACGTTTATCTTGGACATCGTGATTGTAGCTAAATTTCTAAAATCGATAAACCAATACTTCATAGCGTTATTAGTTTACTGTATATGCGATAGATTGATACTAATCGTGGTATTTATCGCTGATTATCGTGTGCTTAATGTCTCACTTCATATGATAATCGTGTAAGTGGAATTGTCAAATCGTTTTATTACTTGTAATTGTACATTTTCCTGTTGTCGGGAATGTTTAAATATTTCAACGGTAAGAAAATATCTGTGTCGAATGAATTGGCACTTTGATGTGTGCTAGATAACGTTTAATTTCGAAAATTATTTAGTATCTCTATTACATGTATGCCTTCCTCGTAACGATAAGTAATTTAACGTGTCGGCTTGATTAACGCGACATAGTGTAGCATTAATAACAGCACTTGCGATAATGTAGAATTAATGACGTCGGGGATGAAATTAGAATCGATGTTATATAGATCGATTCATCATGTAATATTGAACAAATCGCGCATATCAAGATCAAGACATACAAACGAGTAAAAATCACTTCTGTTATTAATCGATTCTTTACTTTATATTCACAAGAATGAAAATGAATATTCGCAATAATGAAAATGTAATCTTTTCCCGCGTATCGACCTTTATTGCAATACATTTCCAAGAGTTGTTAAAGGCAAGTACCCATATTGTCTACCGGGAAACTTAATCTTCAGCTGCCGCTGCTTCCAGGCGAATGAGGTTTCATTAAAAAAATCCAATTTTCAAGAGCGAGTACGCTCAAGCCAAGGGGCAAGAATTAAATTCCGCGTGTTTCTTTTTTTGCTTGCGGCAGCGCGAAATTTGATGGGCACTCTGTAGGAGACCCTTCCTCCTTCGCCCCCAATACGGATAGCGTCCTAGAGTGCGTAAAGAGGCTGATATTAAAGCGGGAAGATATATAAGTAATAGAGAAAGGCGGTTAAATCATAGAGAGAAAAAAATTTTCACGCTCGCAATTAAATATTTTACTGATACATTCATTTTTAAGTGTGACGTGTGCTAGTAAAATAAAATTCCTTTCTTCTCTTCTCTCGGGTCGCGTTATTTTCCAAATATACCGTTTTTAACGTAATAAAATTTTAGGATATTTTTCACTCGTAAATCTACATGTCGCTTCCCTAGTTAGTATGATGATGGTTTAAGAGCCGCCGCGAATTGATATTCGGTTGAAATGTAACCGACGCTCTATTAGCTGGACATAATATACTCACTAAAGCGATATAACGCGAAGCATTTCAATTCTGTCGATGTCGCCGCTGATACAATCGTGTGTGAAGCGGATATTGAAAATACTAAAGCGCGTGTGACGGCGCACAATGACTGTGAGAAATGACGCCTGCACGAGCTACTTGGCGACACTCGTGATCGTGACGACATTAGCTCTCATAGGGCGCGCGGCAGCTCAAAGTAAGGGGATCTATTAGGACCTTAACTTAGTTTCCGCCCGCAAATGTTAGATGGCAATGCAAACAGTTCTAGTAGTCATTACTAACGAAACAGGTAGTTTGTGATTAATTTCGACATTTCTCGATAACATTCAGTCAGCATACACAATTATTTTCCTAAACAACAATTTCTTTTGCTTTGTGAAAAATGGAACGCGATAAAGTGTTTTTTCG